CCTCCTAGACCCAGGGGAAGACTAATGCCAAGACTCTTGGAGATACCCAAGGAATGTGAGACCCACAGATGTTGAAAAGAGACAAGGACTTTCAGTGTTAACAGAGAGAGAGAGAGAACCTTCCCCTAGAGCTGGTGACCTGAATTTGGATTTCTAGCCTACTAAATTGTGAGAGAATTTGTTTGTTAAAGCCATCCACTTGTGGTATTTGTGTTATACCAGCACTAGATAATTAAGACAACCATCAAGGATAATTTTAAGTTAGTATTCTTCTAAATGAAGAAATAAATATAAACATGCAACCCAAACAAAGAGCTGAATGAATGTCATCGCTTTTCTGAAAAAATATGATGCATGATGTTTGTGCAGGGAGATGTTGCTCTCCACCAAACTCAGCTTTAGTCAGCATTTAATAGATTGTGACCAATTTTTTGGTTACTATATTTTTTAAAGTCTATGGAAGCACTGGTGCTTCCATAGTGCTTGGTTCTACAATTGATGCCAATGGAAGCAGCAGTCAGGACATCAGACAACATATAGCACTGGACAAGTCAGCTGCAAATGACCTCTTTCAAGTGCTGAGGAGCAGAGATGTCTACTTGAGGACTAAGGTGTGCCTGACATGAGTCATGATATTTTCAATCGCCTCATATGCATGTGAGAGCTGGACAATGAAAAAGGAAGACCAAAGAAGAATTGATGCTTTTGAGTTGCAGTGCTGGTGAAGAATGCTGAAAGGACCACGGACTGCTAAAAGATCTAACAAATCTGTCCTGGAAGAAGTGCAGGCACAATGCTCCTTGGAAGTAAGAATGGTGAGACTTTGTCTTACCTACTTTGGTCATGTTATCAGAAGGGACCATTCCCTGGAGAAGGATGTCATGCTTGGTAAGGTGGAGGGTTGACGAAAAAGGGGAAGGCCCTCAACAAAATGGATTGACACAGTGGCTGTGGCAATGGGGTCAAGCATAGTGGAGCTGGTGCAGGACCAGCTGGTGTTTCATTCTGCTGTGCATAGCGTCGTTATGAGTCGTAGACGACTCAATGGCACCTAACGACAACAACATTGAAGCGTTGGAAAATATACAAAATATAATGACCATAAAAATGACAGTGAAAACTAAGTCAAATATGACTGATTTGATTGAACCTGGTGAAGGCAGAACTAATATTTACCTCAAATAGAAATGTTCTGTTAAAAACTGTTATCAGAAGTTTCACAATTCAGGGCTGTTTATGCACAGGGAGACAGCTCAGGGGGCAGGAGTGCATGGAGGGATGGACACAGGAAAGAGGTAACTATCGGGAGGAAGTGGGAGGGGAGCTGTTGTATTGTGGTAAATTGTGGTCAATATCATGAGACAAAGTGTATGTGAACTGCTGTATGGAAAGTGAATTTGCTCTGTAAATTTCCACCTAAATCACAATAAAAAAAAAAAAAAGTAGTTTTACAATTCAAAGTTACATGAATTGCAACAGTGCACACAAAGATGAAGCCTGATAGATTCAAAAGTAGAACAAGGGCTCTATAGTGAAAACACCAAAACCAATTCATTCATTTACCTCTGTGCCAGGCAATCTTCTGGGCACTTGAAAAGGAACAGAACAAAGCCTGCCCTCAGGGAGCACACATTACTATAGGGGAGGACAAATAATAAACCAGTAAGTGTGTGTATATATATGTGTGCATGTGTATAGTCAAATCTATATATATTCAAATCATGTTAAGTATTATAGAGAAAATTTAGAGATGGTTATTATTTTTAATAAATAGGATGTTAGGGAAACCTTACATTTGAACAGAACCCAAAGGATACTTGGGACAAAGAACAAGTGCAAATGCCTTGAGGCAAGAGTGTACTTGGCTTATGTGAAGGAGAAGAAGGCCAATAGAAGAAAGGAGAGAATGAGGGTAGAGAGGCAAAAGAAGTAAAGACAGTGGATCACGTACAACTTTAAACCCATTTAAGCACTTTGAGTGAGATAGGAGCTGTTGGAAAGTTTTGAAAGAAAGATTGACATAATCTGACTTAATGTTTTAAGAGGATCATTCTGGTTGTGGCACAAAAGAACAGGAGAGAGATTAGTTAAGAGACTACTTCAGTAATCAGATGATATGATGGTGGTTTATTTTAGCATGTAAGCAAGAGGTAAATGTAAGCAAGAGGTAAAAAACACATGGTTGGGTTTTGAGTATGTTATAAAGGTGCAAACCTGATAGGATTTACCGATGGATTTGATGGGGGATATTATCAAGGAAGATATCAGAATTATCGGTTTAAGCAACAAGAATAATGGAGTTACTATTTCCTAAAATGCAATCAGAAACAGCTTTGGACTTCAGGTTTTAACATCTAGACATCTCAGTGGAGATGTCAAGTAAGTGGTTAGATATTATGAGTTTGCAGTTCATAAAATGTAGACATTTGGAAGTTTTTAGAATATTTAGATGATACTTAAATCACGAGGTGACAGCTGGATAGATTATATAAGGATTTTGTTGTTGTTGTTGTTATGTGCCGTCGAGTCAGACCGACTCATAGCGACCTCTTCTCCTTGGGTTTCCGAGGAAGTATCACTACAGAAGTAAATTGCCCCATCTTCCTTCCGAGGAGTGGCTGGTGGGTTTGAACTGCCAGCCTTCTGGTTAACAGTCAAGTGCCTTAGCCACTATGCTATCAGAGCTCCCATAAAAGGACTTCAGGCTATTGGAAAGCCTTTTTAAGATTACTTAGGGAGTGAATGTTGACTGAGAAGAGATTGAGACCTGAGACACTTCAGCCTTTAGAGGTTAGAGAGAAAAAGAGGATGGTGAGAGAGCAACTCATTGGTAAGGATAAGAACAAAGGAGTATCCCAGAAGCTAAGTGAAGAAATCATTTCAAGAAGGAAGAAGTAATAAACAGTCAAATGCTGCTAACATATAAAGTAAGATGACTGATGTATTTAGCAACATGGAAAATAAGACCTTAACAACAGATATTTTGGTTTGGGAGTGGAGGCAAAAACTTGGAATCTGAGAATAGGATCAAGTATATATGTGTAAAAATTCATTTGAGACAACTGAGTGACTTTGAACACTGACTAGACATTTCATATTAAGAAATGGTTTATCTTTTAGTCATGACAATGGTATTGTTATATTAAAAAAAAAAACGTTGGTTGAAACAATGAATCAGATGCCAACTCTGACTAGGTATCTTCCTAAATAGCTGGATTTGATGTCTTAACACATTAGACCAGATGAGGACTTTTAGCTTATTATCCTTTAATTTTCATTTCCCTAACTTTTAACTATACAAGTTTTACACCAATAGAGCCTACTTGTACCTGAATATGTAGATTGCAGTGAACACCTATAGATAAACAGCAAGAACTGCTCACCGCTAGAGGGACCCTCTGAGCACAAGAGAGCATTAGTACTACTGAGACAGGGTGAGGATAGAGCAGCTGAAGGACCATTTAAGCCTAATGTTATGTTTAAATTCCTACTGGGGAAAAATGTTTTATCCTTAGACACACTTGGGTTATGTCTTATTGGTCTTTTTTTTTTAATAACCACTCCTATAGAATTTTGTAAACATACTGGGTTTTTTTTTTTTTTTTCCTTTTAATCATGTCCTATTAAGGAGCAAAAACATTCCATGGTTTCCCACTGAACACAGTTTACAGTAAAAATTCCTCAGCCTAGCACTCAGGGTTTCCAGTGTTCCCTCTACCTATATCCAAATATTCTCACTCAGGTCTCCCTCCACAATTACTTTCATCATGGGCTCTTCTTTGTTCTTATAAAACAGACCACTCTCATGCCTGCAAGCCTTTGTGCTTAAGTAAAACTCTTCCCTAAAACTTTCAGACAACAGTAACCTCTCATCTCTTATTTTCTTCCACCTTTATGTTCTGTACCACTCGTTTAGAGAACTTAAATCCTCAACTGTGATCACATATAACATGCTTTTGTTTCCTAGATGCTTTCTCTTGAAGGACAATAACTTCTTTTGACCTCCAACTGCCCAGTACAGTGTTCTTTAGCTGCTGCATAAATATTTGTAGAATGAATTTGAGATGGGGGATAGTGGTATGGGGAGGGCAATGTTTAGTTAATCTGCTTCTCTCCAATGCTGCCCTTCCACCCATACACACATGCCTTGGAACAACAAGCTCACCTTTTTGTCCAGTTTCCCATCACAGTAAAACAGCCTAAGCTTAATCTTAAAGAAGAGATAAAACATAAAATTAAGGGAAACACTCTCTATACTTTTCTAAGAGTGATACCCTAGAACCAGGTCAGGGGTAGGAAAAGGGAACCCTAGAGGCAAGTGACTTGAAGCTGGTTTTCCCACTATTCTCCTTTCCTCCTTAGCCTGAGTGAATTTTGAGTTCTAGATCCCCAAATCTGTTTCACTGCACTGCAATCTAAGCAGGAGACTTATATTCATTCACAATCTTTCCTCGTCGAGGTTCAGTTGTTAAGATGGCAGGGTTGGATGCAGGGAGGTAAGGATGAAGCCATTTCCCTCAGCTTGAGTTAGACTGAAGCTGGAGTGAACGAACTGAAAAGGATGCAGCTTTTATTCAGAGCAACATGAACAACACTGAGCCTGGAGAGTCGGGTATACAGTGTATGATCAAAAAACAAGACCAACAGGAAGAAACCAGAGATCTAAATAACTGATAAAAGTTTAATACATTAAAACCAGGTATTTTATCACTTTTATATTGCATTTGCCATTTCTGAACAATACAAAGTAGAGGCAAATAGTGACATCCATAGAAACTGATTGCCCATTCCCTTTCCAGAGACTCAGCCCACCCTCAAATACTCCCTCCCACCCCCTACATAACTCTGTCCTGAATAAAACATTTAAATACATCATAAATAGTAAATTATGAAAACAAAACAAAAAAACAGCAAGAACTGTTTATTTCCTTCTCATAAAAAAGAACATGGCAGCAAAGACAGGCAGCCAGAAATTGGCTGGAGGTGTCTAATATAGACAGTTACTTGGGAGTATGGACTAACCTACTATCAAGGTAGGGTGGGATGGAGAGGGGACAGTACAGGAATTCAGGATCTGCCTGAGATGCCAGGCCCCTTTCTCCCTGCAAGAGCAGGAGGATCCATTTGATACAGAACCACAACCTCTGAACAGGACTCACATAGCCTGTTTTAACCTTTTCTGAATGAAGAGAGGGGACAAGGCATGTGGCACAGCAATGACCTCACCAGGGAAAGAATCTGCTGACTCCCCGTAACTTTTAAGAAAATACTCTTTAGCTTCATAAAATATGGACTGCCTGCTAAATAGACACAGGTGTCCCTTTCTCTCGCTCAGCTTCATGAACAGCACAACATTGTTGGAAAAGATGGGAAGAGCAAAGAGGAAATCTCCTTTGGAGAAGGCTCTAAATTTTATCTGGTAAAACTTTAATATTTAGAAAAACAAGCAGAATACATTTCAAATTGCAAAACAGTAATAATCATCAAGCCCTGGCAGTGAGGAGGGTCCTGCCTAGAAAGGGCTTTATTTCCTACCCCAAGTGTTTTAACAAAAGGGGTAAAAATTACCCCATGTCCCACTCTCTCCATTCCTTCAGCCATAAGAAATTCATCAGGAGAGGAGGAGTTAAAGAGGAGCTGCTCCCGGCAGAGCAAGCACCACACTTCTGCTTCACAAACACCAGGACTCTTCTGAGGAAACCCTATGAACAAGCATTTCTCCAATACTTTTGGAGTTTCGAAACTGACTGGCTTGGAACTGTGTGCTATGCACTGGATTTTTTTTTCCTTTTTTTTTTTTTAAGGGGAAAAAAAAAAGGTTTAGAGGTGGCTAATCACCCTTACACCACCAAAAACCTTTATCCTTTATGAAGGTTATGGGGATCTTTATGAAGGGCAGAGAGAAAAGAGCTAAGACAGGGATAATGTGCCAGCCAGTATGTCCTGAGGATAAAGAGTCCAGCTCCTGGTGAAAGGTAGATGAAGGGGAAGAAACCCAAGTCCAGCAACCCCACTTCCAGTATGAAGAAGGGGGTAGTTTGAAAAACTCAATTGTGGAAGCCAAGGTTAGCCAGTTGGAAATTCATGCCACCCAACTCTGGCATGGAAGGGAAGCTGCTGTCCTCAATTGTCCAAGGCATGAATGCCTATTCACAAGAAAGGGGAAGGAGAGGAAGTTCTTCAGGAAGGAGACAGAGAGCTCCCCTAGCTTCCATTACACTCCTTTTACGATGACCAAAAAGGAAACTCAGCATTGCTGGGGCAAAGGCTGACACCTTGGGATCACAGAGATGGTAGAATCTTTTTCCAGGTCTTCTGAGGTTTTATGCTCACTGAAAAGAGAAAAGGTACAATTTTAAGGATGTGGGGATATGAGATGAGGAGGAGAGAATGGAATTCAATGTAATTTCAATATGGCTGGCATAGTTAAATGTTTTCTTCCATTTCAGCCTTAGCTTACAAGTATCAAGGTACAAAAAATACAAAATAAAAATAGGCAATTTAGGAGGCACCCAGTCTCTCTAACTTTGCCAATTCCTTTCTCCATTCCACCAGTGATCCTCTTTGCACTTGTCAAAGCAATTATCTCCCCCATGTCCCAGATACTCACATGGGAAAACTCTGTTTCTGTAATTTCAAGCTTTTCCAGGTGGGATAAACTAATAGGAAGGAAAAAAAAAAAAAAAAAGAAATGGAACCAGAGAGAAGAATTAGAATATCAAAAAGAAAGATGCCTTTCCTCTCAAGTCAATTCTCATACTATTCCTCCATATATCATCTCAGAATCAATCTGAGACTCAAAGATAAAGTTAAGGAACTACTAGATTCTGATGCATGTAATTTTAACTAAGTTTCTTGAGTACTATAAAGTATTTTCTAGTAGCCTTCTTCTTTATCTTCGATCTGTATGGTAGGCAGCCTCTAAGGTGGCTACCAATAATCCCTACCTCTTGACATTCATACCAAAACCAAACCACATGCATTACTGCTGACTCAATTCTGACTCATAGTAACCTTATAGGACAGAGTAGAACTGTCCCATAGGGTTTCCAAGGCTGTGATCTTTATGGAAGCTGACTGCCTCATCATTCTCCCACAGAACAGCTGGTGGGTTCAAACCGCTGACCTTTCAGTTATCAGCTAAGCACTTAACCACTGCACTACCAGGGCTCTTTCCTGATATTCATGCCCATGTGTAATTCCCTCCTCTTCAGGGTGGGCTGGAATGTCAATTCTGACATCAGGTAATAAACTAGCTTCCACCTGGGCTCATGCTGCCTCACTTTCTTGCTTACTTACTGAAGGAAATGAGCTGCCATGCTGTAAGCTTTCTTATGGAGAGGGCCATGTGACACAGAACTGAGGGAGTACCATAAGCCAGGAGCCTACAAGGAACTGAATCCTGCCAACAACCATGTAAGTGACCTTGAAAGTAGACAGTCCTCCAAAAGAGCCTTCAGGTTAGATCACTGCCCTAGGCAACAGCTTGACTGTAACCTCTTAAGAGACCCTGAGCCAAAGGCACCCAACTAAACCATATCTAATTTTTTTTTTAATTGTGATGTGGGTGAAAGTTTACAGAGCACATTCATTTTCCATACAACAGTTCATATACATTTTGTTTCATGACATTGACTGCAATCCCCACAATGTAACAGCTGTCTTCTCGCTTCTTCCCTATGGTTACCTTTTCCCTGTGTCCTTCATTCCTGCCCCCTGAGCTATCTCCCTACACAAATGCTGCCCTTCTGATTTCCCGTGGTTGACTGTTTTAAGGAGTGTACCTACCTGGTGTAAACGTTCACCTTATATTCCAGTCTACTGTTTGGCTGGAAGCCATGGAAGTGAGTTCAATTCTAGCCCAAAGGGTGTCTAGGGGCCATAATCTTGAGGGTTTTACCAGGCTCTATCAGACCAATAAGCCTGGTCTTTTTTATATTTTGAGTTCGGTTTCACATTATTCTCCCACTCAATCCAGGATCTCCTGTTTTGACCCCTTTCTGAGTGGGTGACAATGGTAGCTGGGTACCATCTAGTTCTAATCTCAGGATCATGTAGGCTGAGGTTTGCATGATCCAGTAGTCCCTTGAACTACCTGTTTCCATATGTCCTTGGTTTTCTTCAATCTTCTTTGCTCTAGATGAGGAGCAACCAATTGTTGCATCTTAGATGGCCTCTAGCAAGCTTTTAAGACACCAGTCATTATTCACCAAAGCAAGATGTAGAACAATGTTTTGGTGTAGTATGTTATGCCAACTGAATGTTTTGGTGTAGTATGTTATGCCAATTGAGCTTGATGTCCGTCCCCCATGACCATGGTCTTGAGCCTGTGGGCCCAGTGACTCATTCCCTCAGGCACACCTAGATTCTCGGTGCACAGAAATTGAGAGATAAAAAATATTTGTTGTGTTCAGCTGCTAAGCTTTAGCCTAAGTTGTTATGCAACCATGGATAATATAAATTTTAGTAACTACAAGTGAAGTACTATAGTAACAAAAATCTATAATATAGGGGTGGCTTTATTAGAGAGAAGTGGGCTCAGAGAGGAATTTAAGTAAAGGCTTAAAGTGCCCTGAACATACTGTAGGATTTTGGACTTTTAGGGGGTTATTTGTGAGGGTTTGAAGGAAACTGAGAAAAATCTTATTGGAAACTGGAGAAAAGGAGATCCTTGTAATACAGTGTCACCAGTTTTACAACAAGGTTATCTGTAGTTATCATGAATATGTGCTAATAAACTGGGTGATTTAGCTAAGATTTCTGAGCAAAGTGTTGAAAGTGCCACCTGTTTTTTTCTGGTTGCTTATAGCAAAATGTGAGAGGAGAGAAATTAATTGAAGGAAAGACTGTTAAACAAAAAGAAAACAGGAACTGATGTTTAACAATTCTCAGCAACTCCAGAATGGCAAATGATTCTAAAAGTAAGAAGTGCCTTTCTAACAAAGATGGAATCAAGGACATGCCAGGAAAATATGATCTAAACATGAATTTTAGGGTTTGACTACAAAATATTTTATTAAGACCTCAGAAAAATCAAGTGGTACCTCAAAGTATTATTCAGGAGATCTGGTGGCATAGTGCCTAAGTCATCTGACTTCTAAACAGAAGGCTGGCAGGTTCAAATCCACCAGACACTCCTTGGGGAAAAAAACTGGGTTATCTACTTCCTTAGAGATATCACTTTAGAAACCCAAGGAGGGGTCATTATGAGTTGGAACTGACTTGATATCAGTGAGTTTGGTTTGGTTTTTGGTTTAGAGTATTATTCAGTCATATAAAAGGCCATTCAAAGAGAGAAAGGGCCTCACAGATCCTCTCAACTGACACACACAAAAAAACTCACTGCCATTGAGTGGATTCAGACTCATAGTGACCCCCTTTGGGCTTCCAAGGCAGTAAACCTTTATGGAAGTAGATTGCCTAGTCTCACTTCTACAGAGCGTCTGATGGGTTTGAACCGCCAACCTTCTGGTTAGCAGTCAAATGCCTTAGAGCTCCTTTTCTCAACTGAATAGAGCCTTAAAAGCTTTGGGCTTACCAAGAAAAGATTTGTGGGTATGACTTTTGCCTAATGGAGTGAACTCCAATGAGACACATAGGAGATCTAAAACATTTTTAAAAGAAGTCTAATGCATGGAATACTATGCAACAACATTAAAGAATAATGTAGAATCTGCAAAACACTGCATAACATGGATGAACTTGGAGGACATTATGCTGAGTAAAATAACTCAATCACAGAATGACAAATACAGTATTAGTTCATTATTGTAAAAAGTCAAGGAAAGGTTTATATATGGAAGGAAACTTTCTTTGTTGGTTACCAAGGGTAGGACGGGGAGTGAACACTGCAAAAAAAACAAACAAAAAAATGCATTGACCCATTTCACTTTAGTTTTGTGTATTTCACTGTACATAAGTTATATTTCAATAAAATATATTTAAAAAAGAGAGAGAGAAGTGTAACAGAAGAAACACTGCCAGCTTTGGACTAAAATAGGGGAAAAAAACAGACCCACTGTCACTGAGTTGATTCTGACTCATGGCACCCCCATATGTTACAGAATAGAATTGCTTTGTATGTTTTTCTTGGCTATAATATTTACAAAAGCAGTTTTCCAGCCCTTTCTTCTGCAGTGTCACCAAGTCAGTTCAAATCACCAACTTTTAAGTTAGCAGCTGATCACAGATCACTTGAGTCACCTAGGCTCCTTGAAATAGAAATAGCACATAACGAAAAGAGATCATTGGACACCCAAAATTCTACTGGCAGGAAGTAAGATGAGAAAGCTACTTAGCTGCAAACACATTCCAGCATTTATGAAAAAGGAAGTCTCAGAAAGCAAAACCAAGAGCTCAGAGGGCAGAGTCAGAAATCATGGAGAATTAATCCCATGCTTTGAGATTTATCAATGAACTTGTAACATTTCCTGGATTTCAAATAGCTATGGATCAGTGATTCATCTGTGCCTCTCTTTTTCCCCTTTTTGAACAGGAATGCATATGCTTAGCCCATCACTGTATGCTGAGTAAGTCTCTTTAGTTTCAGAGGCCCACAGATGGAGAGGTACTATAATACGCAATGAACAACTCCACACTTTGACCTGATTTAGACGACAAAATTCTGAACTCTGAGCTGATGATGTAATAGGATAAGACTTTTGAAGGCCTTGGGAAGGAGTGTTTTGCATATGGGAGTGATGTGAATCATTGGGAACCAGAGGGCAGACTATGCTAGCTTCCCCAATGCTTTTTACCTCATGGTATTCACACTATTATGCAATCTCTTCCTCTTAAGTGTGGGCTAGATTTAGTGAAGAGAATGCAGCACAGGAGATGGATTGTCAATTTTGAGATGAGGTTACAAAAAGACTGTAGCTTCTGCCTAGGCACATGTCCTCTTCTTCACTTGGTCGGAAGGAAGCTAGTTGTTTTGTTCCTAGTTGCCCAAGGGAGAGGTCATTTGGCAAAGAACTAAGGAAGGCCTCTAATAACAGCTAGCAAGGAACTAAGCCCTCAGTCCAGTAACTCACAAGAAACTAAATCCTGCCAATAACCACATAAATGAGATTAGAAGCAAACTCTCTCAGTTGAGTTTAGATAAGACCCAACAGCCTTAACCAACAGCTTGACTGAAACTTCATGAGACCTTGAGACAGAAGACCCAGCTAAGCTGTGCCTGGATTAATGACCAACAGAAACTATGACATTTATTTGTTATTTTAAGCCACTAAATGTTGGGGTAATTTATTTCATGCAACAGATAACTCATAGCCATCCAGTCAATTCTGACTCTTACGACCCTATAGGACAGAGCAGGACTGCCCCACAAGGTTTCCAAGGCTGTAAATCTTTACAGAAGCAGACTACCACATATTTCTCCCACAGAACAGGATGGTGGGTTTGAACCACTGACCTTTTGGTTAGCAGTTGCCTAACCACTGTGCCACCAGGACTCCTTACGCACCAAGGTAACAAAATTAAGTCACAATCTTTACACCAGTCTCTTTCAGAATATTGATTATTTGTTGTCTTTACTGCCCAGGAATCTTTGGACTTAAATTCTAGGCTCTTAATTGGCATTCAATTTACCAGAAAATGAAGTGTTAGTTGGGCCATTTTGATTGAATACCCCAAAAAATACCTCATACAAAGGCTTCCTTCATTCCCTAAAGATGTAGAGATGTTGACACACTTCTAACTAGTTAAAAATGAGAAGATGTTGAACCTGTACAAATCTAGTGAAGAGCAAAAGACAAATAACGATCCCCAGAAAAAAAAAGAATTATGGCGGAGACTTTCTGGAGAATATGCCCACAGGGACCTGAAGAGGGAGATTATATGAAGAAAGAGGCCAAGGAACCAACCTTGGAGTTATCGTTTGCAAACCCTCTCCAACTACAGGTGTGAAGATGGGGTCAGAAATAAGTGAGTCTTCGTTGATTTCCTCCAGAGGTGGAGTCTGGGGTAAAACATCAGGGCGACCGAGGTGGACACCTGAAAAACAAAGAAGGGAATAAAATCAATAAATACAAGAGAAAGAAATGGAGTAGAGAGAATATAGGGAAACATATGTAGCAACCTGGCTTTTCCTGGACAGGAAGGGGGAGCAAAGGTCCTAGCCAGTTAAAGTAAGGACTCAGAAGGGAGGGGTGCTGATTACATGAGGACCCCAGCCCTGGTGCTGACCTGGCTCCACTTCCGCCTTTGTTGTCACTTGTGCCTTGTGTTCCCCAGACACTGTTGGCTGGCAGTAGGAGTTGCCGCTGGGGCCCGCTCGCCGAGAGAAAGATGCGCCAGACCGAAACTTTTTGGAAGGAGAAGGCTTCACTTCAAAAGGGAAAGAAAGAGCCTACTTAGCACCCATCTCAGAAACCATCACCAAGACACAGATATAAATTGCCAGTTTCCCCAACACACACCCAAAGCTGTTGTTCTGCAAAGTGGAAAGAAGGGTTAATGCTAACAGAGACGGGCTTTATGAATTACTCTCCAGAGGCGGGAGCCTCAATTCATTTCACTTTGGAAAGAAAGAGGGAACCTAGAGGAAAGGTGCCACATATACAACATCTCCCAACTCATACCTGTAACCTTGATGGATTGGCATCAACCTGACAAAATGTTCTTTATTCCATAGTTCCCTTCTTTAACAGTATCCTCCAGTAAAACCTGACAAAGATAACCCTTTCATTCTACACCCTCTTAGTACTTATGCACACAGCACTATGATTATTTACATTTGTTTATATACCACTTTGAAAAGACTTTGAATTTCTCCATGTTTCTTGAGCTTGTCTGGTATGCCTAGGTCATTCTTGCCTTACTGAGGGACAACTGATATCTACGAGGAGGAGGTGGGAAGGAGGAGTTGGAATGTGTCAGTAGCAGCCGCATGGAAGCTTTGAACAGAAGAACAGTGGGACGTCCAACTCTAGAAAGTTGAGAGAAGAGACTAAGCAGAAATCAGTGAATGCCTCTCTAATCACTTGATCCTAGTCTAAGAATGCCTTGGCACTGGGGATATGGATGGACAATAGAACACTGGTAACATCCTTGCTCATCTCTGTCCATATAAGTCTAGTTCTGCCTACCTCAGCCTGTGGCATGGATCCTACACCCACAACTATATATTTTTCGCAATCCCATCAGTTCCCCAGAAATCCCTCTCACCTTAATGACATATGTAGGGAGAGCCAAGGGGAAAGCAGCAACTTGGAAATGACTGGGACAGACAGAGTGACTGATACAAGGATGGACAGCAGTTCTCACAGGATGTGGGTGGAGGAGAGGCCTTTGGCCTTGGCAGCTCTCTGACAGAGGTGTCCTGCCCCCCATCTCTTGGGGTAAGGGAGCCATTGGGGAGTCATCTGGTAGAAGCCACTTACAGGGGATCTTCTTAAACACTGTGCTGCACATGAAGCGCTGGAACCGTTCGGCATAGAAGCCTGGGCGATGCACTGATACCGTGTCCTGCAGAACAGAAGGGATGGCTGTAGAGTTAAAGAAGGGAAGACCAGCAAGGGGGCCTCTAGTCTAGACCAAGGATCATTTTCCCACAAACAAAATAAAGAATAAATGGAAAACAGAGAGCAAATCAGAAGGGAGGGAGGCAGAAGTGGGGAAGAGAGTCTCCAGCTGACTGGTACTTACCCCATCATGTACCAGAGCTTTCCAAGAGTGCTCCAACTTCTTAATAAACCTGCCAAGAAAAAATTGTATTAAGCATTCACATAGTTTTTTTAATGAATAATTTAATGTTTTTCTATTTTAGGGAATTAAAGGAGTAACGGTAATAGAAAAACTTGAAAGAAGCTGAGAAAGTACTCCCACTACGATATGCTGGCTTTCCAAAAATATGCATGATAGTGTTTGTTCATCATGGAGATCAATGTTGTTTCTACATAAGTCAATTAAGATCCATGCACTGGGAAATCAGAGGCAAGAATATTTATTATAAAGGGAGATCCAAAGGGATTGACAGGCAAGCCTGAAGAGCAGATGATAATGCTCTGGATTAGTAAATCAACAAGTATTACCCAGTTCTCATCAGAACCGGAAACCTTACAGAAGCTGAACTGGCGTCTAACATTTTCAGCTTCTCCCTCATCATCATTTCACTTCCTCTTAGTTACACAGGGCAATTTTTTTTTTTTTTTTTTTTACAAAACATAGTAACCTTCTTGTTTTTCCTCTCTGGAAAAGAGGAATGTGTTTCCAGCTATGTCTCAATATGAAGTATGACTCATCTCACAGGTTTGTCACAGAATAGTTAGACAGATGGTGCATTCTACCCTGGTGCTTTTTCAGAAGGTATATGACATGTGTGGGAGGTGGTAGGGTGAGGAAGCCCTAGAGAGAGGCAAATCAAGGAAATTACCATTTCAAATTCCATGAGGTAAGCAACAACTCATGTTCTTGCTTTAGGAAGAACTTGGCAACAAACCAATCTATTAAAAGAGACATGTGGGGGGCTATCTGCATCCTTCCTGTCCCCAGTCTAAGATTCACATGCTCCTTACCTGTAAGACTGCAGAATGTCAATGATGCCAATATAAAGCAGCAACCTTTCCCCTTTACTATTCCGGGCAGGGATGCCACCCATACTGGGGAAAACAAGAAGGAAATGGTAAGAAAACATTTTGGCTAGCAGGTAGAGGCTTCTTCTAACCTTGAGTCAGATCAGGACATCGAAGAAATAAACAAACATAGCTATTACTACCATTTTCCAAAAACTGGGAAAGAGTAGGATCCCCTCCCAACCCCAGAACCTCTCCGGAGTACATACTATAATCTCTTTCTCTCCAAATTTCATCTACCTGCCTCTTCCACCCTAACTCTACCAAACGGAATCCAAAATCACTCCTGTACGATAATTTTGAGAATACTCTCTCAATTAACTCAGTACTTTCATATCTTAATTTATACCTACTAAGAGATTCTTCTTAAAAATGAAAACACCTAAAAGATACTTGTGGTACTTCAGCAACTATACTTTCTTGATAGATCCATGATGGCCTTTCCATCAAGAAATCTATAATAAATTGTTTTTGATAAAGTTCTAATGCAATTTACAGACATGAGTAAATGACTCTGAGTATGTTTTTTAAAATCTTTTAATTTTGGATAGCTTTCCTCAGGTGTACTATAAACCTTGAATTTCAAACACTTTCCTTTGCTTTTATGTTGTTAAGAAAGCTCATTCTAGGTCTGGAAACATTAACATTGTTGACTTACCTGCTGAGCCAGGGCTACTTCTTCTAACCAGATGCTGGGCCCCTTAAAAAAATGCTGTGAACCTATGCTTTCCTTTATGGTGCCCCTGAGCCCACTTACTGATCATCTGTTTCCACTGTGCCACCCCGTCGAGCCTCGCCCTGGATGGATTCCATAGCTGTGGAATACAGAGCCTTTTGAGGGGCTGGTCTGCGAGTGTCCACTGAGTACTGTGCTTCATTTCCTAAGGGTTCTCTTTGTGCATGATCTAAGTTGTGGACTGACACCAAAAGGCTATAGTCCATTATCTTAAAGCTCTGTAGCACCTAATGGAAGGAAAAAAACATGTTTTGAGACTTGGGAGATATGAGGGTATTTTGTTTAAGATCTCACAGCTTTCATGATAAAATTATTCTCAATAGCGAGCCTCCAGTGCTAACTACAGGATCATATTTGGTCCTCCTATTTCTTGGAGAGGAGCCTGTTAACCTCCCCTAGTCACTACTTACATCCCCATAGCATTCTGTCATATCAGTAAACACAGACTATTTTTCTAAGTCCCCCTGCTTAGCCTACAAGTCCTGCTTTATTTGCTCTTTCTATGTATCTCTTCACAAAAAGATTATATTCTCAAGAGAATAAGGAATATGTATTTGTGCTGTAGAGAATCCACAAGGAGGATCTCATAAAATGATACTTCATGCCAGAATAGATCTGTTACAGGATCTTTTATTACCAGCTTCAATTCAGTTCAACATTTACTAAATTCCTATCATGTATAAGCACTTTACCTGGTTATGGGGACTCAAAGATATTTAAGAGAGAGTTTCTATCCTCAAGAATAATATAATTTAGGAAGGAAATAAATGTAAAATGCAATACAGTCTAATATATGGAAAAAATGGAAGTAATTACCGATAGAGGAATACAACAGAAGAGATCAGAAGTGATGCATAAATAGGTTTATGATAGGTTTATGAAGTAAAAAAAAAGAAGCAAAGAACATTGCCAAGGCCTGGGGGCATTAAACAACATGTTACGTGCAGGGAGGTATAATCTGGTATTGGTGGAACCTAAAATGCAAGGAGTAGATATGGTAGATTACAGAAGTTAGCAGGGGTAATATAATCACAGATCTGGTATGTCACAATAAAGAGTCTCAAGTGTATCCTGAAGTTTTCAACCCTCTCCCCACTCCATAACAAGGTGGGAAAGCATACATTCCCATCAGTTCCAATGGCTGACTTTGGTGGTACAGCTCAACCAAGAGTGTTTTGGTAAGAGGGTGGAGTGAGAGATGAAAGGGCATAGAGTTGATTCTTGGTTGTAAGTTATAAAAACTCTCTGCCTCATTGCTAAGTAAGTCTCTAGTCCTTGTAATCAAAGGACTCAACTAAAACAGGCATTATCTTAGAAGCGGATGTAGAGTGAAGAAAGAAGGGCAATGATGGACAACATTAAGGAATGAGAAAAATCATTATGCAAAAGCAGCTTGAGAAAGAATAATCAGAGATGTAGAAAAATCAGTAGGGAAAGGTGTCATAAAAGCATTAAGAAGACAAGTAGCCAACTGTCAAACATTACAGAAAGTTACAGGTCATTAGGTGTAACAGCTTTTACTGAAGTGGTAAGAACAAAAACAAGAATAAGAGATGAGAAAGGAAAAGGATAAATGGAGCCATCAGTAGATGAAGCTATCAAAAAAAGTCCTCTCTTAACCTTAAGATTGAATAGATAAGCTTGTTTGTAGAAAAAGAGCCAAGAAAAGCTGAAACTAGAAGAAGGAAAGAAAGCAAGTGATACAGGAACAGGAGGAAATGGATCCAGAGCACAGATACCCCCCAAGTTGGGAAGAAAAGAGGTTAAGGATGGTTTTAAGTATAGATACATTAATAATTGGTAATGGGATCAGGACAAAGGGATGGGACAATACAGAAAGTTGAAGCAGTTTTCTGAGAAATGCGGGGAAGGATGAGTTGGAAAAGGATTTGAAGACAGTGCCAAACATCTGAAATCAATGTTGAGAGGAATAGAAAATGGATTAATGAGCAATACAGAGGACCCAGGTGGAGCTAGATATCATACAAATCTAAAGCATTCCACTTCTAAAATAGAAGTTGGGAGAAGGCAGTCAGGACTGAGATCTGAGAAGTGATGGTGCTAACACGAAAGTAAGCAGAATGAGATCCAGGCTAGACAAGGAAGAAAATAAAGCCAGGTGGGCATGAAAAACAGGGAGAAAGTAAAAAGGTAAAGGCGTGGAAATGAGCTGATGTAAAAGTTATTTTAAATAAAGAATGGATCATGTGGGCTAAGAAACAGAGTCCCATTCCCACAGGCTTAATATCTAAGAACAACCAGGCTATTTTAGTGATTTGAGATTTTTAGTGTGTGACAAAGGGAAATATGACAAACTCACCAAACAGTCACGCTGCAGGGTCTTACACAGAGCGTTGTACATGTCAGCATCCAAAAAAAGACCATCAGGGATGTCTTGCAAGAAGTCCAGGTCTTTAAGGGTGGGGAGAGGCTTCTCTCGCTCTTTTTGGGAAGCCCGTCGTTTATAGGTTGATCCCTTAAGATCATATTTGACATGCATCTTGACTGATCGTGGTAAAAGATTGTTCATCACCACAATTCTAATGTTCTTGCCACCTGCCTGTACACAGTACAGTCCATAGAATTTAGGTAGCAAAGTGCGAGGGTTTTGGTTGAGGTTCTGAGGGCACAAAAATAAAAAGGAGAGCAAATAACCTGATTTCATTGAAACTCAAGAGCAAAAGTTGCCATCTACCCTCTTTGTCTCCTACATGGGATTCAAGCACAATCTGTCTGCCTGAAATAAGCCCACACCATGTTTGTTTAAAACTTCCCAACGTATCTATCTCAATGATGGAATCACCAAGCTGAGCCACCGTCCCCCTAACACTGTAATCAGTCTGGATACTGAATGTATGATGGATCTACTCCTTCAACATGGTTGAAAAAGTCTTACCCTTAACCCTGGCTACAGTATATTCTCTTCTAGAACCTCCAAGAGTTATCAGAGTGACATCAAGTTCAATTGGCATAACATACTACACAAAAACATTGTTCTACATCCTACTCCGGTGAATAGCGACTGGAATCTTAAAAGCTTACAAGCAGCTATCTAGATACAATTGTTAGCTCCTCATCTGAAGCAAAGAAGAATGAATAAGACTAAAGACACATGGAAACAATTAGTCCAAGGGACTAGCATAGCATGTGAACCTCAGCCTACATGACCATGAGACCAGAAGAACTACATGGTGCCCGGCTACTACGGTCAACCACTTGGAAATGGATCAGTGCTAGAGATCCTGGATAGAGTGGGAGAAAAACATGTAACAAAACTCAAAATCACAAAAAAGACCCCAGGCTTACTGATCTGATAGAGATTAGCGAAACCCCTTCAACTATGGCCCCTAGTCATCCTTCAGGCCTGGAACTGAACTCACTCCCATGGTTTCCAGCCAAACAACAGACAGGCACATAGATGAACATTCACACCAGGTAGGTACACTCCTTAGAACAATCAACCACGGAGATCAGAAGGGCAGTATTTGCACAGAAAGACAGCTCAGGGCCCAGGAATGCATAGGAAAGAAGGGCACAGGGAAAAGGTAACTACAGTGAGAAAGTGGGAAGAGAACTATTACATTACGGGGATTGCAATTAATGTCATGAAACAAAATGTATATGAATTGCTGTATGGAAAATGAATTTTCTCTGTAAACTTTCACCCAAATTACAGGGGGAAAAAAAAAGTAATCAGAGAGAGTATGAACTCAGTACTGTAAAGGGAAATAACCCACCTTATTCCATTATCTAGGATCTGACTAACAACAGAAAATAAAAGATCACTGAATCTTTCCTTTGGGTAGAACAGTCTAAGTCAAATAACACTTAAATGAGGACAGATAAACAAACACCTTTCAGCCACTGAAAGACAAGAGAGATGGTGCAAAAAGCATAAAAATAAACTATGTTCTCAAGACAGAAGCACCGACATTGTTTAGTCCCACTGAAGACAGCCTCCCCAGCTTTGTCCAAGAGTAGGCAGTATAGGCAGCCAGGCAGGCTTTTCTCCCCCTCACCATGTAGTATCCTGGAAGCAGTTTCTGCAGAAACTCCGCTTCTTTATGCTGGACCGTCTTAATGATGAATTCGTCATCACTGGACACATAGAAAAGGGATCCACTAGCCCCAGAGCTGCAGAGTTCAATCAGTGGCTCACTGCAAAGGGAATACTGGGGCCCAGAGAGAAGACAGTAAGAAGTTCAAAAACACCAGAGATGCAATTCTGTTTCAGAGAAAAACTTGAGAAAGATTTGTGGGGTGGGCTGAGGATCGGGGGGCAGGGTCTTTCTTCAGGAGTATCCCTCTGATGCTGGCATCACAGGGTCCTAAAATCCAGAAGCTTACCAAGTAATCATCAGGCCGGATGCCAAATAACTCCCGAAAGTAGCGGAAGGCAACAGGTGCGTATGTCTTGAAACGAAAGTCACTATAGTGATGAGCAGGGGTCAGGTTGCTCCCTTCACTGTGGGAGTAAACAGAAGAAGCCATACTTACCAGTCCATGTCATCCAGAAGTCCACTCTGGGAAGACATTCAGAGTTACCTAGAGGCAGGCCAATACATCCCTCCTTGGAGAACCAGTGGGATTAGGTCAGTCAGTTACTTAATTGTGAGACAAAGGCACAATGTGAGAATTAAATCATGGGCATAAAGGATTTCTATTACCTCCTACCTGATGCCTGTGGGCTCACTCCACAGGCCAGAGGCTCATGGAAGGACCCAGGGGACAGCATCTGTTCTCCAAACTCTCCAGTCCCACCTATATCACCCCAATTTGCCTAGCTGAATTAAAATCAAGTTAAGGATTGGCAGGTTACTAAATTAGTCAGGCCTGAACTCCTAAAATGGCCTTCTAAAATGGCCTTGGTGTTGATAAGGAAGAGCCACATTTTCCAGGACATTAACTTCTGTACCTGGGGAAGAAGATACTCTCCACCACATAGAAATCTTGCATGAGGACATCCCGCTCTGGTTTGGTACTCAGGCTCCCCACGGTGTGAGTAATGCCTAACTGGATGGCACCTTTCAAGGCTGATGAGGTTGTCTGAGAAACAGAAATCAGAGAAAAGTTTCTGACCACAACAACAAAAACTCAGGAGGGAGGAGTTAGAGGGAACACCTGAAAGCAAAGGTCCTTCCAGTAATTCAGACTAAACTGGGACAATCCAGTTTCTCCCTTACAGTGCTTTAAACTGAAGTTAACCAAAGCTCTAAAGGGCAGTGAAGACACAGAATAATGAAGATGGGACAATATGTGCCAGCAGCAGCTAGGCAAGGTGTGCCCCTACTATCAGCCAGCCTAAACAAGGAGTTCTACAGCTATACTTGGAAGATGTACTGTATTGAGGGAACAATCTTAGGTCTTACTCCTAAACTTCCTGGCCCCTGGGTATGTGAGGCCCTCCAAACACTTCTTTATGATACAGAACGTAACTAAAATTAACCAATATTCTGATTGACTAGCTGGCTATAAGAACCTAGTGTCCCAAGGGCAATAGAGTAGTAAAAAGAAGTCATAACTGTATGAAAGATGCTAATTATTTCTGAGAAAGAAATATTTAGATCTAGAATTATCATACTATGGTAATTCTAAATCAAAACACAAATACAAGAGTCCTACTCTTACAACCCATGATACCACATCAAATAAAAATTCACTTTTACAGTCTTTCTAAAGAATTCTGATGGTGTACTGGTTAATATATTTGGCTACAAAGCCACCAGCTGCTCCGTGGAAGAAAGTGGAGATAGTCTGCTTCTGTAAAGATTTACAGCCTTGAAAACCCAGTAGGAGTTGCACTGAGTCAGAATCAACTTGACGGCAGTAAATTTGGAGTTTGGTTTGAGTCTTACTAGTCACATTTCTAGTAGCTAGCTAGTTACTACCATATTGAACAGCACAGATAAAACACATTTCAATCACTGTAGGAAATTATTTTATTTCCTTATCTCCAACCCCTACCAGGTATTACTTATATTTCCATTTAGTCTTCATTGGGCATTAAAGCTATAACTAATTATTTATGTGTCTGTCTCCCAATTAGACTAGAAACTCATCTTTTCATCTCAGCAAATAAAAAGTGCTCAATAAATGTCTGTCGAATTGACAAGGACTTCAGAGGCTATTCCAGGGTTTGGTCCCTGACTGAGAATATGGGTCACTCACTGCACCTCTACTATTTGGACAATGCAATTTAGGCAGAGAAAGGACACAAACTACATAGGCCAGAAACAGAACTCTGAAAAATCTTTAGCCCCTGTATCAGACAAGGTATAGATGCTAGGTGAGAAACTGAATACTATCCCTAGGGAAGCCTAATCATCTCCAAATTTGTCTAGAATGGAAGAATTGGGATCAACCCAGGATGCTTCTTTCCTGCTTTACCTCCATGAATTCAATTTTATCTTCTAGGCTATTACCATTACCTTTTTACTGTTTGATAGATATAGCTCAAAAAGCAGGGGTCCTCAACACTACCCACCAGCTATAATCTTCTAAAAGGGGGGGGGGGGGCGGCAGAAAAACACTCAACCTGCTGTGCATCCATTTCATGTGTATTCAAGCACCAGAAGACAGACAGAAAGACTTCAAGTGATACAGTTCTCTGTGGTAAAGTCAAAATGGCTTCAAGGGCCCAGTTATACCTTTATACCTAATGAGGAAACCCAGTCTCTTAAGCTCAATGAAATAGCTTCCAACACCAGATTTGTCCATTAAGAACATTCTCGCTTCAACACACATATACAAACAGGGGACAATTCACCCTTTGAGAAGTAAATTCTAAAGTCCAAGTTGTATGATGGCTATTGTGCAAAGGCTTATTAGAGTATCAAAATATGGAATAGAATATGGGGAATAATATCAGGGGACAGAGCTGTCCCTGCTAAGTTCCTAGAGTAAGATGAGAGAATTCCATCCAGACACACCTTTTTATATGTTGTCTCTCCTGAGGAATCAACACCTCGGTGGCCTATTTTCTTAATGGGCATGCCAGATGCATAAGGCACCTAGAAAAAGAAGAGTCAAAATTATTATACAATTCCCATGTAATATATCAACCAGCTGCCCTGATGGCATAACATCAAATCAAAACACTCAACACACCCTTTTCTAGATTGTTGTTGTTAAGGTGCCACTGAGTCGGTTCTAACTTACAGCAATCCTATGTAAAAGAACAAACACTGCCTAGTCCTGCACCATCCTCACAGTCATTGCCATGTTTGAGCTCATTGTTGCAGCCAGTGTCAATTCATCTCATTGAGTCTTCCTCTTTTTTGCTGATGCTCTACTTTACCAAGCATCATATCTTTCTCCAGGGACTAGTCCCTCCTGATAACATGTCCAAAGTGTGTAAGATGAAGCCTTGTCATCCTTTGCTTCCAAGAAGCATTCTGGCTTACTTCCTCTAAGACAGATTTGTTAACTCTTCGGGAAGTCTACGGTATATTCAATATTCTTCGCCAACATCATAATTTAAATGCAATAATTCTTCAGTCTTCCTTATACACTGTCCAGCTTTCATATGTGTATGATGTGACTGAAAAGTACCATGGCTTGGGTCAGGCAAACCTTTTGGTCCCTGACTAAGAATATGGGTCAGTCCACGTCTGCTATTCAGACAATGCAATGCAATACAGGCCGAGAATAGACATACCCCACACATGCACACAGCTATAGTGCTACTTTCCAGTGCATTAACTGACTAAAATAGCACAGAGAAAACCCTAAGGGACACATATTTGACTCTGTTCTCAGAAAGATGCTGTAGAAAATAAAAAATAAGTATCACTAAAGAAAAGCAGAATCAGAAAGTAAGGAGTATTAGCCCCAGAAATCAGGATAAATCTCAGTACACAAATACAAGACAAGTTAAAAACAGAGTTCCACAGACCCTTTCTTCTTTCATCAGCTTCTTTTAAGAAAATATTATCCCTCCAACCATAGTCGCAGGGGACATCAAGCTCAATTGGCATAACATACTATACAAAACATTGTTCCACCTCCTACTTGGGCGAGTAGTGACTGGCATCTTAAAAGCTAGCAAGCTGCCATCTAGATGCAACGATGGGTCTCTCCTCGTCAAGAAGAAAGAAGAAAACCAAAATTAATGGAAACAATTAGTCCTAGTGACTGGTACACCATCCAATCTGCAACCTATACAACTATGAGACCAGAAGAACTAGATGGTGCCCGGCTACCACTGTCATCCACTTGGAAGGGATGTAGGAGATCCTGCATAGAGAGGGAGAACAATGTGGAACAAAACTCAAAATCATTTGGAGGAAAAAAAAAAAAAGAAGGTGGGGACCAGGTTTGCTGGTCCAATGGAGCCTGGTGGAACCACTGGGACTATGGCCCCTAGCTGCCCTTCAGGACTGGAATTGAACCCACACCTGTGGTTTCCAGCCAAACAAAGTACAGGCACGTGAGTTAAACACTTACCTCAAGTAGACACACGCCCTGGAGAGAACAATCATGGGAGAAGGAAGGGCGGCTTATGCACAGGGAGACAGCTCAGGGCGCAGAAGAGTATGGAGGGATGGTCACTGGGGAGAGGCAACTATGGGGAGGAAGTGGGAGGGGAGCTGTTGCACTGTAAATTTTGGTCAATGACATGAGACAAAGTGTATGTGAACTGCTGTATGAAAAGTGAATGTACTCTGTAAATCTTCACCCAAATCAAAATAAAATTAAAAAGAAAATATTATCCCTCTAACTTCTTTAACCTAACCCAAACATCACCTGTTCAAACTGAATTCACTAGCAGAAATGATCTATCATCCACTGTTAAAATTAATTCTGTAGGCCAAGAATTATTATTTTAATAGTATATCTTCTTGAGGCAGTAAGATTGCTCCTCTGAGCCACAGTGCCACAACGAGATGCCAAGATAACATGACTTTATCTTCCACTCACATAACTGCCCTGAAATAAAGAAGACTAGTAGAGCAGAGCCTAGAAGACTAATTCCAAAAGCCAAGATGCCCAAATAACAGACATGAAGGCACTCTTCATGTCGATACTCATTGTTAATAGCCAGAAGGCAAAAAGACTATGGAAATGGGATGTCACAATCTTATGACCTGATATTCAAGTTCTACTTTTCTTAGTAAGGCCCTCAGTATCAGATACCCCTCAGAATATACCCTGACAGATCAGGAAGATGTTCAGGGGAAAAACAGAAATTCCAGGCCAAAATGGCCTGCATTCTGAGGTGCCTTTTACAAAGCCCAAGAGAGAAGCAAAAAATGAGAAGAGGGGTAAGAAATACTCCATAGAAAGAAAATTAATATATTCTACACAGAAAAGAGACATATAGGAAATTACAGTTTCTGTGTAGTTTAAAGAATTGCTTCTTTATATTCACTGTAGGTGTGGGACTAGGAGGCAGGAACAGCAAAATAGTTATGACAATTGGCGTTGGTGTCAGACTCATGGATTTGAATCCTAGTTTCATCATCTATTAATTATGTGACTTTGGGCAAGTTATAGAATCTCTAAGCCTCACTTTTTTAATCTATAAAAGAGTGATAACAATAGTTACCTCACAGAAATTGCTTTCAGGATTAAATATCTCTGAAAGAGAAAGGAGCCCTGGTGGTACAACAGTTAAGCATTCAGCTGCCAACCAAAATGTCGGTGGTTCAAACCCACCAAATGCTCTGTGGCAATAAGATGGGGCAGTCTTCTGTAAAATCCATATTAAGACTACAGCCTTGGAAATCCCATGGGGCAATTCTACTCTGTCCTACAGGGTCATTATGAGTCAGAATTGACTGGATGGCACACAACAACATCATAATGGGAACTTACCAGTCTTTGGTGCATTAAAATAATACTCACTAAATGTTGAGATATTAATAATATTAATTAATAAACTACAATAAAGGTAAAGTTGTTTGATTTCAGGTGTGCGTGGTATAAGCAATTTGCAATTGGCTACTAATCTAAGGCAGCTTGAATCCACTCAGAAGAAAGGCCTGGTGATCTGCTTCCATAAAGATTACAGCCAAGAAAACCCTATGGAACAGTTTTCCTCTGTAATACATGGGGCTGCCACGAGTTGGAATCGACTTGATGGTATCGAGTTTGGTTCTTTTTTTGATTTTGTATAATTTCTAGCCTAGATGTAAGAGCCCTGCCTAGCTTCCAAAATCTAAGCAGGGGAAAAATAACGATATCATAAACAGTATCCTATCCCAGAATTAGGAGCTCTGGTAGCATAGTGCCTAAGGCATTTGACTGCTAACCAGAAGGCTGGTGGTTCAAACCCATTAGCCACTTCTCAGAAGGAAGACTGGACAATCTACTTCCATAGTGATACCACCTCGGAAACCCAAGGAGGGATCGCCATGAGTTGGATCCGACTCAACGACAGTAAATTTGGTTTGGTTTAATTCCAGCATTAGTCTTAGTAAGCGTTATATCAATATGAAACTCACCTCAGATGCCATGGGTCTCTTGATTACAGATGCTGTTTAAAAAAAAAAAAAAAGTTACAAGTTTGTTCACATTACTCACACAATCTCTGTCAAGCACACTGAAAGCATCAAGAGTTTGAATCAAACTAAACATGACAAGGAGCTCCTGCCTCTTGCTCAGTGATCCCAGATTCTTTTGGATAGGGATTTCCTCTTCAGCCACCACATTCCCAGAGCCCTTATACATATCCCATTCTTGTTTAGCCCTTTTTCTTATTCAAGTGTTAATATTTTCTCTGGGAAATATAACTGTGTCTTGATACATCTTACCAGTAGAGTCACAAAGTCTCTCTCATTTGACACCATGGCTGAAAGAGAAAGGGCTTAAGACATACCCGAGACTCACTGGAAAGTCTGGGGCTTGATTAATAATTTTTTCTTTTTCATAGCTAAAAGTGTAAGAACTTTTAGGGCCCATCTATGGTTTTTTAAGAAGTTCTGGTCATGCTATGGTTAAAGCATTGGGCTGATAACCAAAAGGTCGGAGGTTTAAACCCACCAGCCACTCCACAGAGAAAGATGAGGTAGTCTGCTTCTATAAAGATTTACAGCCTTAGAAACCCTATGGGGCAGTTCTACTCTACCCTATAGAATCACTCGGAGTCAGAATCTACTTGATGGCAGTCACTTGATTGGGTTTATGGTGTTTTACTCCTGTGTTAATTTGGATAAAAGACATGAGAAGGATACAGTGAGTCTGTGGAGATGAGGGGACTAAGGATAAGATACAATATTAAAATACTGAAAAAGCATTCCATGTAGGCAGAAACTGACTCCTTACCTTGATTTCTCTGTCAACTCAACAGGAATTTCTTGGTTTAAAATTTATTTCCAAACCAATAAAACCAAACTCACTGTCATGGAGTCAATTCCAACTCATAGCAACCCCCATTGGGTTTCCAAGGCAATCAATCTTTATGGAAGTAGATCGCCCATTTTCCTTCTGCAGAGTAGCTGGTGGGTTTGAACTGCTGACCTTCTGGTTAGCAGTCAAATGCCTGAGGTGCTATGCCCCCAGAGCTCTTCATTTATTAAATATTTATTCAGTGAAAACATGAAAGATAAGTCTGTGGTTAAATCTCATGAATATTATTTATGATCTTTAATTTAGGAAAGACTTTTAAGAGCAAGGAAGTTTAGAAAGTGCCTAAAAAACGTATCTACAGAAAATCTGCTCTGAACATTAAATCAACTCTAAAGGGTTTGCCTGACCCTCCATCCATGTGATACTAAGAGAGACAGGGTTTCCTTTCCCTCATAGTGGAGAAAGTTGGTCTTTATCCAGAAAGACTACTGAGATAACACTTCAACCTAGAACTAAAGGATTCAGATGGAATGAACATTAGCCACATTAAGGAAAATTAAAAAGAGCCCAACTAGGGTAGATCTTCAATAATACAAGTTAATATCTGAGCAGAAAGACTTCAGTTCCAGTCCATCCATGGGAATTAATAGTGAGGCAGTAACAGAGGAATACAGGATTTAGGATTACCAGATAAAGCTCTAATAATTATGACTGTTTAAGAAAAATGATCAAGGCCGTCTAAATTTCAGAATACAGCTGAGCTCAGAAGGATAGAGGCCAACTGCTCTTAGTAGTAGATAGACCACAGACTAAATATTTATGGTACCAGTAAGCACAGCAGCAAAATTTCTTCTTCATAATGAGGCAGAGTACCCAAACAAGGGAGCAGATGGTTTTCATTCCTCTCTTTCCAAAAAAAGGTGCAAGAGAAATGTCATCTAGCTGTCAGAAATATGTACTGCACATTATGACCCGAAACATTAGAAAAACAGCAGTTCTCACTACTGCATCTCTCCAGCAGACTCCAATAATCTATACCTTTTCATCTTCAATCAGGTGAACTTTAGCTTGATAAAAAAAATGAGTCCTAAGTTTGGACTGGAACCTTAAACTAAGATTTCCAAGGAACAAGAAGCCAAGACAACTTAGATTTATGATCAAAACTGCTATTTACTACAGAACTTAAGATGTCAACCAACAAAAAAATACTTGAATCTCCTACATTTAACAAGCTTTTTGGCTGAGAGTCAAAATTCTGAGCTATTTAAAAATCAGAAGGCTTGGGTTTAAATCCGTATGTTACATCAATCAAATTATTCTCTTTATAAAAATAAAAGGATTCTTTATTAGAAGGCTTATATAAACATCAAACAACATAAGCAAAACCAAAGCACTTTATGGACTGTAAAGTGCTACACAAATATATTGTTACATGGGTGAAGTACAATAGGTTTCTCTCATATATGGTCTTTCTGGCCTTGGGTTCCTAATTCTGCCTAGACCACAATCTAAGTGTTGAATATGGTCTGTGAGTTCTATGTAGCCACTGCAATGAATTATCAAACCCAAGAAAGAAATAAGAGTGCTGTGGGGAAGATGGCTGGTGTCAGAAATAGTGAAAAAGTTCAAGAGTGGAGGTATGTTTGACCTCCACCTCACAGTAATCAGTTTTGCGCTGATCCTGATTCTCCTATCTTTCCTTAAAGTTAGACCAAGTCAGTCGCCACTAGATTCCAATGTGATTTCTAATGCAAGAACAATGATAAACCCATAGCAAAGTTTAATGTTCAATTACCTAGATCTTCATGAAATTCCAGTTAGCATCCCAAGGTACTTGGCTCCTTCCAAACCCCTCAGTTCCCCCAATCCATGTACTTGTGCACACACTCAACTACAGAATCAATGACTCTCAACGAGGAAATCAATGTGGTTTTAGTTGAAGACAAACACTGGTTCTGTATTCCTTAGTCTGTACTTGGCCTATTCCTTCCTCTTTTACTCCAGAGGAAGGAATCTGGAAGGGACCTGGCAGAAACGAGAGCCAGAATCCAGTCCTCGGCAGTAACACCCAGAAAATAACCTCTTCTGTATGCAAGCAATCACTGGGTAAGATTAAGCATAGAGAGAAAAGTAGGTAAGTAATTTCAAGGCAGAGAGTAAGTTTGGTGCTTTCTCATTTTCTAAAAAGTTCTATTTTGCTACCTTTCCTAATTTTATCATGCAGGTCTAGGGCTGCTATACTCTTGCAAAGTACCAAGAATAAGGGTGGGATGACTTCACATAGTGGAATTTTGGTGTCAATTCCTTCATTATCTGCACCAGTAAAACTGAGACTAATCCCAAAAGCACTATACCTGAAGCAGGAAGAAAAGAAGACATTATTGTTCTTGTTGTTGCTAGATGCCATAGAGTATGTTCTGATTCATAGTGACCTTATGTAAACAGAACAAAACACTTCCTGGGCCTGTACCATCCTCACAACCATTGCTATGTTTGAGCCCATTGATATAGCCACTGCATCAATCCATCTTGTTGAGGGTCTTAGTTTTTTTCATTGACCCCTCTAACAAACATGATGCCCTTCTTAAGAGAATGGATCCTCCTGATAATACGTCCAAAGTATGTAAAAGGAAGTCTCACCATCCTCATTTCTCATGAACATTCTGGATATACTTCTTCCAAGACAAATTATTCTGGCAGTCCACAGTACATTCAATATTCTTTGCCAACACAACAATTCAAAAGCAATTCTTCTTTGGTCTTCCTTATTCACTGTCTAGCGTTTGGATGCATATGAGGTCATTTAGAAAACACCACAGTTGGGGTCAGGTGCACCTTAGTCATTAAAATGACATCTCTTTTTTTAGCACTTTAAAGAGGTCTTTTGCAGCAGATCTGCCCAATGCAATATGGCATTTGTTTTTCTTGTAAAACTTTTCATTGTGATTTGGGTGAAAATTTATAGACCAAACATTTTCCATTCAACAGTTCATACGTATTTTGTTTCGTGACACTGATTGTAATCCTTACAATGAATGTAACAGCTCTCTTCTCATTCCTCCCCTTGGTTGCCTTTTCCCTGTGTCCTTCTTTCCCGCCTTCTGAAATTTCTCCCTATGCAAAGGCTGCACTTCTGACCTCCCATGGTTGGTTGTTATAAGGAGTACAACTCCCTGGTGTAATTGTTCACCTCGTAGACCTAGCTATTCTCTGGCTGAAAGTTAAGCCATGGGAAATCGTTTGATTGCCTGACTATTGGTTCAATGGGCATTGATGGTAGATCGAAGTAAAATGAAATTCCTGACAACTTCAATATTTTCGCTATTTATAATAATGTTGCTTTACTGATCCATTTGTGACGATTTTTGTTTTCTTTATGTTGAGGTGTAATCCACACCAAAGGCTAGTCTTTGATTTTCATCAGTAAGTACTTCAAGTCATCTTCACTTTCAGCAAGCAAAATTGTGTCATCTGTATACTGCAGGTTGTTAATGAATCTTCCTCCAAACCTGACGCTATGTTCTTCTTCATATAGTCTAGTTTTTCAGATTATTTCCTCAGCATACAGACTGAATAAGTATGTTGAAAGGATACAACCCTGATGCATGCCTTTCCTGATTTTAAACACACAGTATTCCCTTGTTCTGTTTGAACGACTGTTTTTTGTTTTATGTACAGGTTCCTCATGAGCACAATTAAGTGTTCTGGAATTCCCATTACTCATAAATGTTATCCGTAGTTTGTTATGATCCACACAGTCAAATGCCTCTGCAGAGTTAATAAAACAGAGATAAATATCTTTCTGGTGTTATCTGCTTTCAGCCAAGAACCATCTGACATCAGCAATTATGTCCCTTGTTCCACATTCTTTTCTGAATCCAGCTTGAAATTCTGGCAATTTCCCGTCAGTATACTGTTGCAACTACTTTTGAATTATATTCAGCAAAAATTTCTTGTGTGTGATATAAATGATAATGTTAAATAATTTCCATATTCTGTTTGATCACTTTTCTTTTGAATTGGCACAAATATGGATCTCTTCCAGTTTGCTGGGCAAATCTGTTGCCATAGACAAGTGAGCATTCCCAGTGCTGCAGCTAGTTATCGAAACACCTCAATTGGTATTCCATCAATTCCTTCACTGCAGCTTAGACTTCTTCGCGGTGTGTGATCATATGCTTCCTCCTAAAATGGCTGAACGTTGATGTCAACTCAAGGTGTGAATTTTTCTTCAGCTCTTTCAGCTTAAGAAATAGCAAGTGTGTTCTTCCCTTTTGGTTCTCTAACTTCAGGTCTCTGCACATTTCATTACAATACTTTACTCTGTCTTCTAAAGCTGCCCTTTGAACTCTTCTGTTTAGCTCATTTACTTCATCGTTTTTTCATTCACTTTATTTTTTTCCAAAGAGAAAACCAATGGGGATATATTTATTAATGTGCCATTTTAATATTATGCACCTTAATCTTCTGACTCTTTCTTGTCTGTACCTCTTGTGCACCTCTCCATGTCATCCTTTTCCTTCGTGTGCTGGTCACTCACTTTTGGTATACTGCCTTTCCTTTCACTCAAATAATACATATCTTTTACCTATGTAGCAAATTTCCCTTCCCTCTTGTTGCATCCCTGGTATTCAACAAAGAAACTTTTCTTCCATGAGAAAACCTTTCCTTGACTTTTTTTTTTTTTT